ACATGTCCCGAGTGGTCGCCGTAACGACGCTCTCCTTCGTCAGATTTACCCGTATGAGACGCTCGTGGTCAACCACAGAGGACGGAATCAAGTTCCTCCTGGCGTCGACAGAACGCAATTGGAGGTAACGGTATCAACGTGAACAACTGATCAAAGTGCTAATAGATGCGAGCAACTAGCAAGAGACTATCCGAAGTCGAGAAAGGGCCAAGGCAGATTGATTTGGATTTCATATCTTGAGTTGGGGTTTTTTTCTTGTGATAATTGTTAAATGAATAAGATGTTAACAAATGCTTACATGACCATAGAGCAAGATAACGATAAAAAATGGATGAGGAGTATACATCTTAGCCTGTTTTCACTTGCTGTTGTAATCCTGAAAATTGCTAAAATGCTAACTCATACTATGTCGCCATGGAGCATGACATCAACCCACGAAAAGAAAATGTTCAAAGCGATTCATAAGTATTTTACATTCTTTCTACGTAGCAGTCAGGTACTCTTTCAAAGAAGACTTGAGAAAATGCTAGCGTGCTAAATGCTGGAATGTTAACATACGCCAATAAAGATCAAAGGTGGACTGATCAGGATTTTCCATCTTGCCCGTTATTCGCTTTTTAGTTTCAGAGAAGAGTTGACTAAATGCTAGCATACAGCAAGCTAAAATCGCTAAAGCAAATCAACAATATTGTCCAGTCTTGTGGTACTCCCTCTACTGACAGTTGCTAAAATGCTACCGTGGAAGCAGATCCTAAGTGAAAGCTCGTAATGGAAGTGTTGTGTGCGCATCTAGAGACATCTGTCACGGGAAGAGTTCGCCAGCGTGTTCGCCATGATGCCGGAGGAATTTGAGCAGCTTTCTCTCTGGAGGCGGAACCACCTAAAGAAGAGGGCGTGTCTCTTTTGACTGCCACGCACAGCCCGCTGGAGACACGCCCGCTCTACACAAGCTAACAAGCTGAGAGAGACGCTAACATTAGCATGAGATGGGATTGCGACACAAGCTAACGAGCTGAGAGAGAGACGCTAACATTAGCATGAGATGGGATTGCTAAATCATGTTGGGCAGGCAACGCAAACATTGTTGCTTTCAACTCCGAAAGAAGGAGCTGTCACCGATGCTAATGTCAGAATTGGCGCAACAATGCTAATACGATTGCTCAAACATGTTGAGCAGTTCCCACAAACGTTGTGGCTTTCAACTCTAAAGATAGCTACAAGGGTAGCTAATATTAGTGTTAGCGTGACAATGCTACTAGCTACATTGCGAGGAGCTTTCAGGAAGTTCATGATCGCAGTGATCGCTGAACCTCAATCTATCGATCAGTCGGTCGATTGATGTTCCAGAAAAGTGGTTCCCAACCATTTTTGTTTGGTGAAGCCCCGAACCCTTTCGTCATTCCATACGTACCCACTCGCCCGGCCGGGTTGGTGATTCTCCAATAGGAGAACTTTAACACAGTTTATTTGATGAAAATCATTTTATTTCGTCTCCTTAACTTTTAACACAAATTCTCAGGCATGATCTTCTTTTCATTCAAACAAAAAAAATCTGATGTGTTGAACATATAATCACGTGAACAATGAAATCAAAATAAACATGCCTTTGTCATACATAACTCTGATAACATTTACCACAAAAAAAAAAAAAAACCAAAAAATGTAGCGCGATTGAATTGAATACGTTTAAACTGTAACTATCAGGAACACTTCACTTTTATTGACGGGCTTCTGAAATGACTCCGAATATTTAGTTCTCATCTTGGAAATACATTTTTAAATGTTTCCATGTACCCCCTGCAATGTGCTCACATTTCCCTCATTAGGAAACACTGCTCTAAAGCCTGAACGTTGATTACACCTGTTAACGGCTAATGTCCAGTTAGCATTGAAGCTTAGCATGCTGCCCAGGACCGAAGCCGAAACCAGCCGAGAAGAAGTCCATTTAAAACAACATGATTCATGCGTTAGCTTTTTTGGGCTTATGCAGGTGCGGACTGATGACATCACCTTCACGTGATGTCAGCCATTTTGCATCCTCTGCCATGCGAGTCATCGCCATTTTGAATGATGATGACATTTTGGATATGACGTAAAACAAAAAGGAGATTAGCGCTTTGTTTTGACAGTTTTGGAGTAAATCTAAGCCACTAACTACATGTTTATTGTTTTTATTTCTATTTGTTGGATGTTTTTGATGACGTTTATGTGACATGCTTGCTGCATGCGTGATCTTAACATGTGAGAGGATCAAAAACTAATCAGCACTGAATGAAACATCACAGTGTGCTCTTAGCTCATTGGCATTTATTCTTATCAATTTCATCTATTATAAGGCAATTTCAGAGATGTAATGCTGTTGTTGCTCATGTGGATGATTGAATGTGATGTGATCGATGAAAACAATAAACTTTATATTCCTCCAACTGTTACTCTAAGATGAAATTTAGATTCAAAAAGAAAGAAAAAAATATTTCATAAACAAAAAAGTGATGCGTATGAAACCATTCAAGTCTGTTACCTTGTGTAGAAAACAAAAAATAAGTTAAAGGGCGTCGGTGTCACAGTCGTGACCGAAAAGATAATACCCATCGGGAAGTCACATTGTCACATCACTTGGCCACGTGGTCGCATGGTGCGCGGTCACTTCGTCACACGGTTGCGTTGCCTTCAGGCAGCAGCTTTGGTCTCCCATTCCTGTTGGAGACCACAAACACGTGTCACCGTGGCAACGCACCCGTAACTTAATAACGATCATGACATGATATTTAAGACGAGAAGAGTGACATGAATTCAACGAATAAGAAGCCAGAAGCATGTGGATGCTGACCTTCCTCCTCTGGAAAACCTTCCCATGCTCGATGAAGAGTGTGGATGGGGCTCGTCTCAGCGAGGTCTTCACAGATGCCGTGCGACGCAGGAGAGGGTTCAGCAGACTGGCCTAGACCGGCATCAACCAGGGAAAACATCAGACACCAGCAAGGACAGACGAGTCTAGTGGAGACCAGCGAGGACCATGGAAGACCAGATCAGAGCATTAGAAACTAGCAAGGCTGGAGACCAGCAGAAACTAGCGAGGATCAAGACAAACCAACAGAGAGTAGGAGGAACGAGAAAGCATAATGGACACCAATAAGCAGAAGAAAACAATCAACAAGAGACAGTTAGGAACCAGCAGAAAGCAACAAGGACAAGGACAGATAACTTTTTAAAAAAAGTCCCATAAAAACCAACAAAAATCACAGGAGACAAGTGGAAAACGAGAGATGAGGAAAACTCCCTGTAGAAAGAGTTGAAACAGGCTTAAGCTATCAGGGCGAGCTAGCTAGCTAGCTAGCTAGCTCCATGACAGCTGATTCGAAATCATCAGCATCTGCTTGGGAAGCATCAAATGAACACGTGGGCGGGCTTTAACAAAAGATGTTTACTGATTGGCCGGCAATCACCTGCGCCCGCTCGCCGCACATGGTGAGCGATTGTCTGAAGGAGGAGCGTTTATTCTTATTGCTTGCCGACACCAGGTTAGCCTCGGACCCCGCCCTCACGGGTACGCTTTTCCTGCCCGTCAGCTCCAACTTCTGAACGCCACGTGGCGCTACTTCAGACCACTTCCTGTCTGAAACACATCACATACACGCACTTGGGCTCAGGAGCTACGTTGCGGCTAAGTGGGTAAATTCACTTTGCGCTGATGAAAACCTTTGTGAAGTCAAACATTCAAGAATTGGCAACCGCTTTGCTCCGCTTGCAACTGATACTGAGCTCATGCTAACTATTTGAAGTCAAATGCCACCAATGCTAAGCTCGTGTCCGATGCTGAAGGAGCCTCATGCTCACTTACTGTGGCTGTCGTTGTCGGTCACAGCCACATTTGCATGGAATAAGCGTGCTCGCTCAGTTCATGCTAACTATGCAGCTAATGCTGTCATACGTGCCAGAATTTGCAGCTCGCGACTGATGCCAAGCTAAGGCTTGTGCTAAGCATCGTTATGCTAAACTAATTGAAGTCAAAGAATTCCAGAGCAGTCGGCTGTGTTGGTGGCCACTGGCCAATGCTAAGCTGCCTGCCTGTGTGCCAACTCACTGCGGCCGTTGAAGGTGGCATTGGTGTAGGTCACCGCGGCGTCCTGAGAACTCTGAAGCTGTCGTACGACACAAGAAAAGGGGTCAGTCGGTGAGCTGACACAAGTCCGGAAGTCAAAGAATTCCAGAGCAGTCGGCTGCGTTGATGGCCACTGGCCAATGCTAAGCTTCCTGCGTGCCAACTCACTGCGGCCGTTGAAGGTGGCATTGGTGTAGGTCACCGCGGC